CTGATCAATGCTTAGGACGTCAATCACTGCATTGTCTGGTCCATACAGAGGAATTACTCTGAAGGCGATTTTAAACAACAAGCAAACTATTTGACAAACCCAGACTACGAAATATACAAATATAATACAGTTTAATACTACAGTATAATAATACAATACATCATTGGGAACAATAAATATTCTCTGTAACATATTGTAAGCATTTAATCCCAAATATTCCTTTCAAATTCACCGCTGAATAAGCTATCCTACAGCATATCAAAGGGTTTCACTCAAAATATCACATTAGATTCACTCCTTGAGTGAGTTTAGTTTTACGCCATTTTTAGCAATATTCCGGCAATATTACAGTGGGGGACACCACAAATGGGCTTCAAACATTGTACACCCATGTAGGGAATCTCACCTATTGAAGTTGTATAATCAAATCAACAAAGAACATTCCCCAATAACAAGCCAAAAAAGGCTGTGGGAATAATAATAATAATAATAATTGCATTTATATAGCGCATCATTCACTAATAAATGCTCTGTGCGTTTGACAAAGGTCTGAGCTTGACCTACTGGAAACAGACTCATCGTACATTAACGAGTACCTAACATTTATAAAATAAACATATTTAGACCAGTTACTGAGACACAGACAAGGACCATAAAGCATTGTAAAGTAGACCAATGAAACAAGACCATGTCCATGTCAGTGTATGTGAAAACTGTAGTACACATGCTCTCACACACGATACTGTCATTTCGTCACGTTTTCACACAAGACGACATGATATATATCCTCATTCCTTTATACACAGGACATAAAATCAAAAGAGGGTGACAAAAATGTCTTCAGCGTGAATTTTTCTGCTTGTTACAAAGATCAAAGTATGGTCACACATAAACATGCTCAAAGCCATCTTTTGTCAGGATTAACATGTAACACCAACTTACCTAAAGATTATACTAATCACTTGATTAGGTCAAGTTTATTACACAATAATCCTAACTTCCCATATCAACAAACTCTTCTTATGAAGTGTATAGCCAGCCTTAGTCTGTCTCACAGTCCCTGAACCACATTATTTTTCCTACTGCCCACCCTGAGTGCTAAAGCCCTAAATGAAGCAAGTCTAGATTTCCTCAGGTTCAGAATCTCCGATCTCGCTCTGTCTCCTTTTCAATTTAAAGAGTTTATTTGTTATTATTAAAATTTTACTATTAAAATTAAATATATATTCAGAGACTAAGCATTAGACAAAGCCAGTCCTTGTGACGGCCTGAGCATAAACTTTTTCAGTCAACTAGCCCAAACCTGTCTGTGGGTCCCCATTTCTAATGTCCCCTGCCGTGATATTGCTGTAATATTGCTAAAAGCGGCGTAAAACCCAATTCACTCACTCACTGTCTCTAGGTAGGAATAGAAGTTAAGGTGTGTTGTTTGCCGGCAATAAATTACTTTTATTCACCCTCAAAACATCTTTCCACAATAACCTAGACAGTAACAGTAGTACCAGTAGTCTATAAAGTTTTCCTTCCTTTCTATTGAGATCGATAACATTTCTGAATCCCTTAATTAAAGTGAGTGAGTGAGTTTAGTTTTACACCGCTTTTAGCACGATTCCAGCTAAAACACTGGGGACACCAGAAATGGGCTTCATACATTATACCGATGTGGGGAATTGAACCCAGGTCTTCAGCGTGATGAGCGACCACTCTAACCACTAAGCTATCCCAACGCCCCCTTAATTCAGGAATAACACTATGCTTTCAGTGAACTGTATGTTCAGTTTATATGACATACAGATCACATCACACAGGCTTTGTATTACACAGATCATCAAGGTAATTTGGGTAACATTTTTTGTCATTTATTTTCTACACGTGCCCTTTGAAGACACCAGGAACTTGTAATGATTGCCATTACAACTGTAACCATTGTAATACATAGAATTGTACCCTGACTGGAACCACGTTCGGTGAAGTTCAGTCTTGTAGTATAGGCTATTTTGTGAGGTGACGGCACTGGACCAAACGAAATTCCCCTAGACACGGACGTCCCGACTACCACAGTCGCAGTGGCTCTTCTGATGTCATCAAGCCTTACGTGAGATAAAAATCAATGAAATTTGTTAAATAAGCTAGGTACAATCCATGGAACTAAAGCGTTATGACATGTAAGGTTCTCAATCAATCTCTTAGGCTGCAGTTCAAAACTTTGATGACTGATAAAATCTGATTCCAAGGTCAGGAGGTTAGGTCAATAAATAACAACCCTGACTTCTTTTTAGTCAGGTATGAGTTATTACTGTGACTCTCAAAAGTAACAGCATCGCTATCATGGTTAAAACTTGTTGAAATAAAAGAACCAGTCTGTCAAATCCTATTCTCGAGCGTCAGTGCTGGAGCTATTTTCTTATGCAATGATCCTGTTTATTTCTGTTTTATATCTGAAAATCTTTTTGACATCGCCAACATATCTATAATTCAGGTTTAGGGAAAGAAGGATTTGTGGCAGGATATTTAAAACCTTATGGCATTCAGATTTATACATCACAAAACTTTACAACAGTTCCCTTACAAAGTTAAAACTAGCATCAATGAATACATTTAAAAAACCGTGAACAATTAGAAAGTCTCCATCAACGGCAACAGTCACGTCAGGTTTGGGAAATGTGTGTAGAATACAGAAACTGTTTCCAACATGAATCCGTACTGGCTACCAAGTACCATCATCTGGGCTGGCACTGTGTTTAATACCTCCCAGAGGTCCACCTCTTTTATTTCAACAGGCTTTAATGTAACATAAATATGGCAGTATTTTCCTGGACCCCACATGGCTGTCAACATGCCAGTTTTAACCCCTCCCCACAGGACATTACCCTCACCTGTAACATGTGGGGCCTACACAACCCCCAAAATACTCATTTCAACAATCCTTAAAGGAAGTATAACAGTCCTGTAAAATATACAAATTGTATGCTGTACTGAAGTAAAATATTTAAAAATGAGTTAAATTACTGGATCTTTATACCTATTGTCAAGAATTTGGTGCAGTGAATATCATAATACATCTCTGGGGATGCTGTACACATTTTTTAATACATCCGCTCCATACATTGGTGTGAAATCGACACTTTTCTGCAACATCAAACACCCTTCATGTGAATGCAGTCCTCAATTCTGTTTATATTCTGACATGAATACAATAAACACTTGATCTGGTTACAGCTACAAAAATTATGTTTTCTTTACAAATCAAAATTGTGTGTTTGAAGTAATCTGTTCCCATATGTTGAACAATGTTATTCATTGTTTTTCCCGATAAAAATACATCAAACAAATATTAACTACTCAAATTATACAGAAAAACACATCTTCCAAAGAATGTAACCAGTATATCAAAATCCATGACAAGGAGGCAGTGTTTGAATAATACGTGTCTTCTATACAGAAACCTCTAGTATATGCAATCACTATTCATTTGTACACCCTATCCTTCATGAAGGAAATAAAAAGCAATATTGCACACGGTGCCAATGTCCTTAATGGGGCAATATACATGTATACTATACTTGAAAAGAAGAAATAAACCAGGATTCTCATTGCAATTTCAGACACTGGATTTGTTTCAAAGCAAGTGAGTGAGTTTGGTTTTACGCCGCTTTTAGCAATATTCCAGCAATATCACAGCTAGGGACACCAGAAATGGGGTTTACCCATTGTACCCATGTGGGAAATCGAACCCGGGTCTTCAGCGTGAGGAGCAGACGCTTTAACCACTAGGCTACCCCCACCGCCCCTTCAAAGCATGAGGAAACAGACAATTGCTTGCATGTTGACAAATATATTACTCTATATTTACTACATAGTTTCATGTCCTGTTAATGACTAATGGTTGTCAAATAATCGGAAAACTGACTTGATTTAGTATTGCATCATTTCCTCAAAATTTTCATTGAAATTTGTTATAATGAGAGAGTTGAGGAAAATACCTGTTCCTTTCACAGTAAACAATATGTACTTCTCTACCAAATGGAGATGTTTTGCTTCAGTTGTAAACACTGTACATTGCTGTACATATCACTTGTGTTCCTGAACGTTTACGAATCAACAAAGTTTACAGTGTATATTGCCATCAATCAGTATTATCAAACCAGTCTACTGGACGAAAATGCAATTTCAGGTCTTTGTTAACTCTGTGCCCTTTAAAGCAGGGAGTCACAGCATTGGCCAGTATGGCACTTCGGTAAGACTTCCGCCATATCCCCCCTAAATTTTAACGGTGAGGACAAATTTCTTTGAGTGGCATTTTTAGAAGTTGGATATGTTTTTAGTTATTTAGATACAATTAAAGAAACATGTTAAAACTCATCCTTATCAGCTGAGGAATATGAAATTTCAGGGGGAATACAGGCGGAAGTCTTTCTGGCTCTTCTTACACATTGTACCTCTGTGAACAACTTGTGTTATTTAGTGCTAGTCGTATATTTGTGTATACACCTAAATCATCCTATAGCAGCATTTCAATGTAACAAGTACAACCGGTTCTTATAATGTTACATATTAAAATATATTCACCAATGAAAAATATCTTTCAGTGTTACACACACCACAACAGATCAGGTGTCACTAATGCTGTATGATAACAACATTGTGTTAAACCTGGGGGCACATTTGATACATTACTACAACATTTAGGGTAGTGCTTGAAAGACAAATACCACATGTCACCGATAGTAGAAGGTTGGCATGTGTGTTTTGCAGAAAGCTTTGTGTACATATTATGATAAGTTGCTCTTATGTTGAGAAAACTCGCATGCGTAGTCAATGTAAGCTTTGACCCCAACCTTGAACTTTGTGGGTCTACTGCTCGGCGCTTGATGAAAGCATCAACACCAGGCTCCGGCACTCGACCTTGGCAGAAGGGGCTTTGTATGGGTTTACATCCCATCCCGGAAATACATGAGGACAAACAACATCGTTCTATAATTGTATATGAAGTTTCTTACCTGGCTTTTCTGAATGAGAGCTGGAAGCGATGTCCTCCTTGCCGATCTATGTGCAGAAAATGCATGAGCACTCGATGAACTAGATCGCCGACGTTTGATAACTGGGATTTTCCCGTCCTGGGTCATAAAGTTTTGTATTGGGGGTTTTAAGACTGTTTCCATATATTTGGCTACCAGTATGCCTGCAAACCCGCATGTATATGCAACGTAGGGTCTTATTCCTTGAGGCAAATCTGCTAATGCGGAACATGCTAGGAATCGAGTGAAACTCACAAGTAAAATAACAACAGCACTATGTATTGTTTCGAGTGATGAAAACACACTCGCTATGCTGATGGCCAACAGGACGAACACTATAACTAATGGCTGGGTGACGCTGTTTATGGTTACACCAGCCTGGGGGGTGAGGTCGGAAGGGTGGGTGGCACCCCAGTCCCGCAAGAATACCTGTGCTAGTGTTTCTCCAACATAACAAGAACTGAATAGAAGGTACACACTCGTAGTGCTCCAAGTTCGACGAAAGTACAGTGACAGCCAGTAAAATGCACATAATATACTGAACATAGGAACAATGAGACCACACAATCTCTGGAATAACATCCCGACGTCACATCTTAGCAACTGGTAAAAGACCGCACTAGAGAACAACACACCAACTCCGTAGAGGGCGCCGAGTTGATGGCTGGAGAAATTGGTGTTGCTCAGACCTAACCAACTGAGGAAGAAACTATAATTGCCTTGTTCAAGCGGTTTCACAAAAATCTGAATGTATCCGTTATTCTCTGCGTCTTCTTCCTCTTTGTCGTTGTCATTCTTAGCCCCCTGCCTCGCGGGTTGAGATGGCCGATGTAGGGCCATACTGAATCCAACTCCCTTCCCGACTCCGTCACTACAGCCGCTAGGAACCCTGGGTACGAAATGTACAACTTGCCCCCTAGCGGAGCTCGTGCACTGTGCTGCCGATGTCACTTTCTCCTCGTGCAAAATGGTATCTTTCCGTGTCAACCGTAATACACATCTTGTCTATCAGCTGTCTATACACAAGCACACCGACACTCCGCCATGATCGAGGTGTGCGACGCAACTGCTCGCTCCGACTCTACTTCCCGACTGTCGCCAGTGAGCCCAAGCTTTACATTGATCGAAGCAAGCAGCGAACGCTCCACTTACTCGGGTCTCGCGGCTTGGCCTGATGTATTCGCTGTGTCTTCTGAGTATCTTTCATATTGCATCCCTTGCTTTACTCTTGTTGAAACAAACACATTCAACACAACAACGTTACACCCGTAATACTCCCTACACACTGTGTCACTTTCTACACACGTGCGATATGAACAGCGCTGTTGCGGAGCTGACGCTGAGTCAAATAAATATAAGGCTGGCTGCGATTTGATATAGAGATCCAGATTTGATAAGAAGACACCTGAGTTGTGGTCGACATTTCGAGAATTGATGGAGAAGAAATTACTGAAAATACCGTTATAAATGCAATGATCCACAAGCGAGAGCTTCAGAATTGCGTGATCAGCGAATCCGCTAGCTCTCCCCATTCCTAAATGCATCTCTTCATATTGGCAGATATTTAAGCTACTTCTATCGACAATTCGTTACTATTACTGCAGAGATTAGATGCTGCACGGGCGTCTGGAAGATAAGACGCATGAAACCACGGATGTGGGCGGCAAATGGTTCAACTAAATAAAGAAACGTCTGGTATATATTAGAAATCATATTAACGAGTTGTAAACGGAAACAAGACCAGTCTTTTCATATGGGAATCGTAAATATAGGAGTTTTGACGTATGGTGATACGCACAGACAATATAACCTTTCATTATTCAACCGTTGGAATTACGGTAACATAATTCGTGTTTTTAACAAATGCTCTACCATGAGGAATAATTTTAAATCTGGATGCACAGGGCTGTAAAGTGATGGGGAATTACGATAGTTCTAAATGTGCGGTATTATCACATTTTACGACATTATCACATTTTACGACATTACCGACTTTACCTGAATGTATAGTGGCTGTAAAGTGATGGGGAATTACGATAGTTATAAATGTGCAGTGTTATCACATTTTCCGACATTATCACATTTTACGACATTATCAACTTTATCAGATACGATTATCGCGGCATGACTGACACCATGAACGCATTTCACAAATTGTAGTCTTGTGGTGAATCAGTTTGTGACGACGGACGACCGCACTGTCCTAGCGCTGCGACAATGGCATATTTTTGAGTGAGTTCATATGTTGCCCTATACAGCCAGCAATAGGCCGACTACCATAAGCACTTCAATAAGCAATGTGGTGTTATTTATGGCGGAAGGTAGGCTACCGATGACTCGGCGTCTCATTTATTTTTCTCAGAGAGATTTTGATATCAATAGTTCTCGGAACACCCTTGCCTACAGTGTGACCACACGTCTGTTCAAAGCATGCGAGTGTATCTTTCTCACGGCATGTCTATGATCTGGGATTTATACAATGATTTACGGTATATCCCCCCATAGTCCACACTATGACGACGAACACAGGTCTGTCCATAACCAGGCATCCCATGGAAGAGTACTCGTGTGTCTCCCAGACCCCGAAGAATAAATTAAAAAATCTAACTCAAGTCTAGACTGATTTGGGAAGTTGTCCCTTCTCCAGATCAAATTAATTTAAATAAACATTCTTCTGGGTTGGGTTATATATCTTTATATTTAATATGGTCGGTGGGGTAGCCTAGCGGTTAAAGCGTTCGCTCGTCACGCCGAAGACTTGGGTTCGATTCCCCACATGGGAGCAATGTGTGAAGCCCATTTCTGGTGTCCCTCGCCAAGATATTGCTGGAATATTGCTAAAAGCGGCGTAAAACCATACTCATTTACTCATTATATGTTGTAGATATACCTTTTCAGAAATCAAATTGTTTTCTGGGAATAAATGTTATTCTGTAACAACCGTAGATGTTGTAGCGTCACGGCGTTGTAGTGGTACTGTAGTAATTTACACAGGCGGTAGCATATATGGTGTGACAGGAAGCAGTTCATTATTATTTTACTACTGCAATCCATGCTTGGAAGAGGCGACTAACGGGATCGGGTGGTCAGGCTCGCTGACTTGGTTGACACTTGTCATCGTATCCCAGTTGCATAGAACGATCCTTATGACATTGATCACTGGATTGTCTGGTCCAGTGAGTGAGTGAGTATGGTTTTACACCGCGTTTAGCAATATTTCAGCAATATCGCGGCGGGGACACCAGAAATGGGCTTCACACATTGTACCCACGTAGGGGAATCGAACCCGGGTCTTCGGCGTGACGAACGGACGCTTTAACCACTTGGCTACCCCACCGTCCCGTCTGGTCCAGCTGGAGTATCGCTGAGTGCGGCGTCAAACAATAACATAATCTTGGTTGACACATTTCATCGTATCCCATATCAGCATCGATGTTCATGTTGTTTACCACTGGAGCGGTGGCGGTGGCGTAGCGTAGTGGTAAAAGCGTTCGCTCGTCACGCCAGCCAGGGTTCGATTCCCCACATTGGTACAAAGCTCATGTCGGGTGTCCCCCGCCGTGATATTGCTGGACTACTGCTAAAAGCGGCGTAAATGCAACTCACTCACTATCACTGGATTGTCTTGTCCAGACTCGATTATTTACAGACCGCCGCCATATAGCTGGAATATTGCTGAGTGCTGCACAACAAACAAAGCATCCACGTGGACAGATAGTGCATCACTGGCGAGCGACACATCTTTAAAGAGGAAACATTCACAGCATCTACAGATTAATTGCGATACGCACGATGTGACACACCGTCATCGCTGAAATTAACCGTGGTTTAGGAATCCGTGCGTTGTCACTCCATGCTTAAATAAGATTATTAGAAACACACACGTGACTGACTGAAAGGCGATTATTACCATCCCACGGTGCCAATCATCAAGGTACATTGACCTCAGCAGACCCCCACAGTATTAGTGTAGCCAGTGCATCTCGGACCAGCGGGGATACCGAGATATCCCGACGGGTGGCCCAACCCGGGTCACCAGTGGCTGGACCACTCGACAATGTTAGTCTGTCTGACGGTCGCTGAACCACTGTGTTTTCGCTTCCGCCCCGACCTTCTGCAATGTTAAAGCTTCAAATGAAGCAAGTCTAGATTTCCGAGCTAATTTGGGCTCCTATTAAATTTAAATTATGTTATTTGTTTTATCAAAATTATATATTTTCAGAGACTAAGCGATATTCTCCGACAATACATACTCACCCTTCTGGAAGGAGCGACGTAACTGGTTCGAGGACGGCTGTGCGAGGACACACCGATGGGAATTCCGGATGTGAGAGACTGAATATGATTTTACGCCGCATTGAACACTATTCACACAATATCACGACCGGATCGTTTGGTCAGGTTCTTGACTTGGTTGTTCGTGATGGTGTGGCAGCTTGCTTTTCAGAGAGTAAGTGAGTTTAGCTCTACGCCGCTTTTAGCAATATTTAGCAATATCACGGCGGGGGACACCAGACATGGGCTTCACACATTGTACCCATGCCGGGAATGGACTGACTGACTGAGTTTGGTTTTACGCCGCTTTTAGCAATATATTTCAGCAACATCACGGCGGGGGACACCAGAAACGGGCTTCACACATTGTACCCATGTGGGGATTCGAACCCGGGTCTTCGGCGTGACGATCCAACGCTTTAACCACTAGGCTACCCCACCGCCGGAATGGAACCCGGGTCTTCAGTGTGACGAACGAACGCTTTAACCACTAGGCTGACTAATACATAGGGTATACTTGAACAAACCATAATTCATGCTCATGGCAAACGTCGCCCTTTTATACACTCCTCGTCTGTCATACAGACCCTGAAACACATTCCCAAGAAAGCCCATGCAAGTTTAGAATATGTGGCAAGTCTAGATTTCCAGTTTCAGGTCTGACAATGAAGAAAGTCTCTGGGCTCCTCTCCATTACATTTTATGATTTTTTTTAAGACACTTTGTTTCTGAAAAATATGTTCATTTTACAGACTAGATGTTAGTCTAAAACATCGAGCATGTGTTTTAAGGTGATCGAGTGAATATGGTTTTACGCCGCTTTTAGCATGTTCCAGTAATATCACGGCGGGGGACATCAGAAAAAGTCACAAAGTGTACCCATGTGGGGATTCGAACCCGGGTTTTAGGCGAGACGAGCGAACGCTTTAACCACAAGGTTGCCTACTCCGTCCCTTGTTGTAAGGAATATTCGCTTAACTGAAAAACATCAATACTCTAACATAATTAACCTTCAATATGAATAGTATACCTGTGCACGAGCCCAACGTGTCGAGAGATATGACTCCATATAACTGCGACGTTGATGCATAATTAACGTACACTGTACATTACACGTCTCGCATAGTATTGATGAATATATTCATTATTCAGTTGTAAGATATCTACATCTATAAATACATTGTTCTGTAATCGCATCATCTGTAAATTGCGACCGGGAATTAATGGTGTCTCATTTACAGGGTATGTGGTATGTTATTGATTTTATACAACGTTGTTATTCACATATATACACAACAGCAAGATTTGGAACTTGTGTTGAAGGTTTGAACTAACTGACAGTCCAAACAAATTTGATTCCTGTAAACAAAATCCATTTTGCTAGTGTACTACTTAATGTTTTTGAAGATTTATCAATCCAGCAGTACCAATGTCTCCCAGATAGACAATAAATAAAATTTAAAATATGCTCGAAAATTGAACATTGATCCTGGATAATTTGGAATGTTTTAATTAGTAGGTGTGTGTGTGTGTGTGTGTGTGTGTGTGTGTGTGTGTGCGTGCGCGCGCGCGCAGCAAGCCTGCATTGGCTACTTAAGATCAGTTCTAACCTGGTATTACGATAGTAGTAGTAGTAGTAGTAGTGGTGGTGGTGGTGGGTAGCAGTAGTAGCAGCAGTAGTAGTAGTAGTATTGGAGATGGTGGCTTGTTTATAAAAGTGTCATACGCACCTCTACAGGTATAAAATATACATAAAATATACATGACATGCATTGGCTCCAGCCGTTGTCTGGCTTCTGAGACAGTGAAATGTGTACACGTATCGAATAAATTAAAACAGTAACCTAATGCAGCTTTAATAAGCAACACGATATGGAAGAGCTGTTCTTATTTCAAAGATTTGAAAGAAAGATTTGAACCTGAAAGATTTGGAGGCTTAACAGCTGAACAAAATCAGCTTTTAAAAGATGCCGTGATAGTGAGGGGCGTGTATCGGCATAC